ACTTTAAATGCCTACAGTTTCAGTTGAACCTTGAGAATTTGTACATAGAACTAAAATCTAGTCTGCCTATAATTTCTGTTAGAACAAGGGATAGAGAGGTGATCTTAGACCAGGAATGTAGAGATTCCTTCACCTTTTTAATTTTTATGAACTTCACAAATTCAACTAATCCTTCTCAATACTGTTACTTAAACAATTACTTAAACAATAATAATTAGTGACTTTAAAACATTTGTTACTAAAACATTTGCTTAAACAATAACAATTAGGGACCTCAATATAGAAACAAGAAAAAACAAAATGTTTATTGACTTGTTGTTATCGCAACTTATCGCAATTTGACAGCTCTAACAATAATTTGCTTGACCTCAAAATCACCATTTTCATTTTAATCACGTATGAATCACTTTATTTAACAATTGTTAACCTAATATTATCAATTATTCCCATATTGATCGATTGATTTCGATCATTAGCGCATATTTTTTGATCAAATGAGTACTAATTTGTCAAATGCATTTTAAAATAAATTATTTAATTAGTAAATAGCAGACGAGCTCCTCATTTCTAACATTATTTCCTATCAACAAAATGATGTTATCTAAAAAAAAGCCAAATATTTAGCTTCCTATCGTAAGGCTTGCAAGAAATGCTATCAAATGGCCAAACAAAAATTGTTATTCCAAATAATTCACTTTTTTTCGTAAGCCAAGTTAACTTTGCTAAATATTTGCAATTCACCAAAATCCCTCTTTTATGCAAACATAATAATTTAGATGATGCTTTGATCATAGCTGCTCATTAATTAGATTTTTGTTAATTAATTATAGTTAAGAATTCAATAACAAAAAGGAATAAAAGATTCATCAAATCATTCAAAATTTCAATAAATTTGAAAAAAAAGAAAATACCAGTGAATCATCATTTTATCATTTCTTTGATATGTTATGAACTATTTGCAATTCATGAAAATTCCACTTTTATGCAAACGTATGATTTAGATGATATTTGGTCATAGCTGCTCATGCTCATGCTTATTAATTAGATTATTGCTAATTAATTAAAGTTAAAAATTCAATAACAAAAAGAATAAAAAACTCATCAAACCCTTTCAAAAGTTTCATGAATTAAAAAATGTAAATATCAGTGAATCATCATTTTATCATTTTTCTGATATGATATGAACCAAGAAAAAAACACAAAATATATAATGAAGTATTTGGGAAAGGAAACAAAGAATTATCAATTAAACAATGAGATGATAACATTACAAATTTTTAGCCTATCTATTGATAAGTTAAAAATTTCTGAAATGTTTATGATATGCTTATTTCATTGTTTAAATACTAAAAAGCAACTGACAAATTCTTTATTGTTTTAAGAGTAATTTTAATTTGACAATTTCTAAAATATTTTAAAGTATGTTTGTTTATTTGTTTTTAAATATTAAAAAATGGAAAATAAAAAGCAACTGTTCAATTCATATTATGAGAAATTATGATTTGTTGTTTATTAGCAACAGCTGTTATCATCATCATTCATTTTAAAAACATATCACGATTAAATATTTCATGATTGAAATTTCTTTTTTGACAGACTAATGATAAATATTTCAAATATTTATTTAACACTGAATATATCAGTACAAAATAAATATTCGATTATATAACAAAGAAAGAAATGAAATGAAATGAAAATTATACCTGAAATTCTTTTAGTATTGTTTTATTGTTAATTAATTTTAATTTTGGTAATTAATAAATAAAACTATTTGAAAAATATTATTTTAAATTTGATTAGTTTTATTTGTTAAATAATTTAAAAAATTATGAATTTTCAGCAATATTACATTATTATTAATTTATTATTATTATAATATTATTATTATTAGTTATTATTAACAATAATAATATTATTATTAATTATTACAATTATTGCTATTTATTATTTCTACTTTTTTAAACAATATGTTGTTTAATTGCTTACAATTGTTTACAAATGTTTGCAATGTTTGCAACTTCAATATAACGAAAGAAATTAAAAAGAATAACAAAGTAAGCAATTGTAATGAGAAAGACAAAATTATTTTTTACTAATTAATCAATTACTAATTAAGCATATAATGTACAGTTTCGCTATAAAATTATTCATTTATTGTTTGTCCTTTCCTCAATTCATCATCACAGGATTTTACCAGCTCTGATAATATTAATTTTATTACTGTCTTATAAATTGAACACATATTATCTGTGTAACGCTCGCGTAATATTGATTTCATCGAATAGAGAAATGGTTCTTCTATCATCTTAAAAATAATTATTATTATTAATTAATGATTTTCCGTTTCTTTTTTATTTTCATACTTAAATAATTTATGAATTAAAATAATTATTGTTTCTAAAAATAAATGATCATAAATTGATAAACTTTATCAAAATATCGAATAATCCCAACTATGCACAAAATACCAAATAATCTGAATTAATTACATTAAAACGTTAAATAAAGTCAATTTATCGACTACTATAATATTCTCATCATTATTGCTTATCATTTATCACTATTTTATAATTTATATGATATCAATAGAAATTAAATTACCCAAAATAATTCTGGTTTAAAAAGTTTCTTGTGTGCATGATAGCGACCATTTTCATCGATTAATTGGAAAAATTTCTCATCATTTCCAATATTACTAAAATTATCATTGCTTAATTAATTAATAATTATAAAATTTTAAAATTCCGATAGATAAATTCAAAAAATTTTCAATAAATGCTATAACATAATATTAGTAAATTTTGATCACGTTTGATCTAAAATGAATTAAATTATAGATATGATTATATCATTCATATGATAAGGATAATTAATACCCTTTGTTTACAAGAAAAATACTATTATCAAATTTCGACAAAAAATAATGTAACTAACGAAATGACTTGACCAATGAATTTCATCACATTTTCACCATGTGCCCTCAATGATTCATCCATTCGTTGTTTTTCCTCATTTGAAGTAGCAATACCATGAAATGGAAATAATTCAAAATATTCCGGATGCAATGAAAATAACCTGAAATTTATTTAACAGCAAAATATTTAATCCATAAATTGCATTCAAATTTATTTTGTCAAATTATTTTTGTCAAGTTTATATATAGCCTATTTTGTCAAATTATGTATAGCAATTAAATGATACATATGAATATATGACGAAAATAAAATGATTGCTGTTTGCAGTTGTTATCAATAATGATTAATTGAAATGTAGTATGGATAAGTTAATAGCAAACATGATTACATGATTGGATTCAAATGTTATTAATAAAAAACAATGAAATAAAGCATGAAAAACTTTATAATGATTCGAGCAAAAAAAAATTTAGCTAAATTCAGAATTTAGCTAGCAAGAAAGATAAATTTATGAAGTAAGTTCGTAAAAATTATGATTAAATGTAATATGAGTAAATTAGTAATGATTATAATTAAATCGAGTGTAAGTTATTATTGATTATTATTAAACGTAGTATGTGTAAGTTATTGCTGAATACGATTAAATGTAGTGTGACTAAGTTAATAATGGTTATGATTAAATGGTGAATGAGTAAGTTAATAATGATCACGATTAAATGTTGCATGAGTAAGTTAGTAATGATTGCGATTAAATATAGTATGAGTAAGTTATTATTGACTATGATTAAATGTAGTATGAAGTAGTAAAAGTAGACGAAAATAACAGAAAACCTATTAATGTATGAGAAACTTAATAATGATTTGAATTAAAAAAATTTATCTTAATTAAGGATTAATAACTTACTAACTTATATTAATAGAAAAATATTTATTAGCAAAATTAAGTTTTTAATTAATTAGGATATTAGTAGTTATGTTATTAGTTAAATTAATTCAGACACTAATAGTAATGTTATTAATTAAATTTTCGATTTATTTAAATCCTAGTAATGTTTTATAATGATTACGATTACTTTTTTAAAATTATAATTGTAAATTTAAAAAAAAAACAAAATTTGCTTATTGATCTTTTCCATTACTGTTTTCATAAGAGCAAACAAATTTTCTACAATTATGATAAAAACAATAAATGGGTGGGAAAAAAACATTCATAAATATGAATGAAATTAGAATAAATGCGATATATCAGGAAAAAAATGGAGAAGAAAAGAAAGAAATTCAGTGGAAATATCAGTGGATGAATTGAAATTATTATTAATTAATATTAGTAAAACTATGAAATGATTCTTTTAAATTATTTAACATGCCATTGTTAATGATGATAATAAAAAGCATAACAAAATTTTAAAACTTACTTTAAAAACATTTCAACACCTGCTTCAGTAACTTCTCGATCAATACCTTTCCAATTTTTTGTCAACACAAATTTTTGCTTCTCTGTTAATGGTATTCGTGAAATTACATTATCTTTTGCATTGGAATTTTGCGCCTTTACAGCTGGCGTGACTGTAGCATTCGAAGAATTAGCTGCTCCGAATTTAAAACAACGGCATAACATTAGGTTGAAAATAATTTGTTTCTTCTGAAATACTGATTACCTGAAAGAATTATAAATAAATAAATACTGTAGTAAATAAATAGAATAAACTACAATAAATAAATAAATACTCGAGGATAGCAATTATATATATATATAATTGCTTATATATTATATTTATATGTATAATTAATATTTATATTTAAATATATTTATTAATAATTATATTTATTTATATAGCATAATATATTTTGCGGGAAAATTTACTCAGTCATTAATTTAACTAAGTTAACTCGTTACTTTCATACGATAACATTCTTATCAAATTATCCATTACATTATTAAATTTACCCCTACTTTTCTCCAT